GCCAGGAATGGGGGAGGAGACCCTCTGAGTTGGTGTGGTGCTGCATGAGGGAGGTAGCTGCTGCCCACCTGCCCGCCGCCTCTGTGCGCTGCCCGGGGTGCAGGATGAGCTGGTTGATGCGGTGATGAACATTGCGTGAGCGGGGAGCAGGCGCAGAGGAGCATCTGTCAAGTGGCGTCCCCTTCCAAGCCACAATTGGACGGCATGCCGCACTCCCCGCTTTTCTTGTTGGATGTGGCATGCCGTCTTGCGCACCCTAGTTCTGTACTATTCTCCTGGCTTTACACGCCTGCACATCTCATTCACCATGTGCATTTTCGCTCTTTCTTCCCCACCTAGCCGCTCATTGCGGGCAGGCCCCCAATTATGCACACCACCAGCACTGATTTGTTGCATGTGTAAACAGCACATGAGCGCGCCAGGCTTCCTCCTCTGTGCAGGTCCGACGCAGCTCAGCCAGAAACTCAGCCTAGGGCGCTGCGAATAGCGTCGGCAGCGGTGTTGAGTGCCCCGCTGACGGCGCCGCTTGCGGTGTCTGCCGCATCTCTCACTGGCTGGGTCACAGTGACTGCACAGGGAGGCAGCAGTTGCGTGAGGGGAAACAGTTGTGTTGCTGGTGCAAACTATTGCAATCAGCTACGCTCACCCACAGCATCGTTGGCTGCGGTGGAAACCGTGTCGCCAACAGTATCTCGCAGGTTTTGGGCGGCACCCTCAAGGCTCTCGGGAACTGCAGTTTCCAGCTTCCCAAGGAGAGCAGCGTGCAATGGGATGCGGGAGAGGTAGCAATGCTGCTAGGAGGAAGAGGATCATGCTGTGCCGGTGACCTTGTCTGACGTCTATTAACGGGTCGGCGGCACCAATCTGGCGGCCCTGCCGCCTTGGCCAGCTGGGCCTACCTCTGCCACATGCACAAGCACACAGCCCTTGTGCTACCTCACCTGGACCTGGGGCCGCCTGCAGGATGAGCCTGCCTCTCACGGGGAAGCTGGCCGCCAGCAGGCAGGCGATCATCAACACCAGAACCCGCGCCATCGCTGCAGTGTGGGAGAGACAGCCCCTCCAGAGAGGGGAAGGGTAGTTGAGCGGTCCCAGGTTTGCCGCCCATCTTTCCAGCAGCAACTGCGGCAAAACATGTGAGTGCAAAGGGAATAGGGACTTGAGCCTCCATACCATCAGCCTCTCATGCACTGCTCAAGTCCAGCAGGCCCACACTCCCAGTCCGCGGCTGGTGCCACAGCGGCCTGCCACAGCGGCAACGGCCCGTCCGCCTGGCTGACCCGCCCTGGTCACCTCCAAGCCTCTCCGGCCTGCTCCGCTCTGCGCTTGTCCCTCCAATCATTCACAGCGTCTAGCATAGCCCGCACGCCTTGTCCAGGCTCCGGCTTCCGCTTGATCGCCGGCTAGGGGGAGGTTGCAGAGGAGCGCACATCGCAGGAGGGCACGGCTGCTGTCACAGTTAGCCAACAGCAGCGTGGCGGCGCGACAGGGGGCCTAGCAGAGCATTCCCCAAAATGCCGCCCCGCCGCACGACTTTGACGTGAGCTCCGCTGCAGGGATGGGGCCCTGCGTGCCTGGCTGGCCACGGCCGAGGCGCTGCGCGGGGGAGCGCCGGCTGTGGAGCCAATCACCGCCGCCGCCGCCCCGCCTGCTGGGTGCAGGTACTCGAGCGAGGATGTGGGCCCAGTGGTGGGCGACAAGCCTCTGTACGTCTACTACTGCAAGTACAGCGGCAAGCACGCCATGACCACAGACTGTAACCTGTCCAAGGCGCCACGCCGCGCCACCGACCACGCTCTGGTGCTGGACACACAGGAGCACATGGTGAAGCTGTACACGCAGGACGGCGGCGCCAAGCTGCTGCGGCGCAGGTGTGGGAAGCGGGGGTGCTGGGGGTGGTGTGGGGCGGGCAGCAAGGGGGGGCTTGGCCACCCAACAGCGCTGAGCGTGCGCGTGCGCCCTCCACCGCGCGCCCTGCCCTCGCCTGCTGCTGCCCGCAGGAACGGCAACGTGGAGCGCCAGCTGCGCCTGTGCGTGGGCAAGCTGCCGGTGGCGTACCGCACGGAGCCAGAGGGCAGGTGCGGCGGCGCACGGGGCGGTGGCTGTGGCGTGAGTTGGCGGCGGGTGGGCGACCAAGCTGTAGCTGCTGGTTGGCCATGCAGCATGTGGTCACCAGCGGCAGCCCCTGGCCCCTGCGCCATTCTCTGCTCGCCCCCTCGTCATCTCCCGCTCGCTCCCCCACATTGTCGCCCCAGCCCTGGTCCCTCCGGTGCGCACCACCCGCTCTTCTTGCCCCCCATGGTACCGCAGGTTCCTGTACGTCCTCGACAACGCCCTCACCACCTACACCGCAGACGAGAGCGGCATGGGCGAGGGCAAGCCGCCCGTGCCGCCCTGCATCATCCGCGTGGGCAAGGCCACACAGGTGGGGAGGAGAGGGGCAGCGCCGGCAGGTCGCTGACGGCAGCCAGGCGCGGGGAGGCAAGCTGGGCGCCGAGCCTTGGGCGCTCGCTCCTCGCCAGCCGCGACCGCGCCCCCCCTGCCCCAAGGCTCGGTGCCTCCGCCTTGCGGCGCCCCTCCCACACCTCGTGCTCTGCCACGCCCCTGCCATGCCGGCTACCACCGCCTCCTGCCTCTGCCCTGCCCCTGCCTGCCCATACCTGCCTGCCTGCCTGCCTGCCCGCCATACCCGCCCGCCCGCCCCCGTGGCTGTGCCCGCAGGTGGCGCTGGAGGTTGACGACCGAGGCAAGCGGGCGCTGGTGCTGCGCGTCACCGCCGACTTTGTGCGGGTGCAGCTGAAGAGCGGGGCGAATGCGGGGCATGCCAACGAGGAGCTGCTGGAGATGCTGCGGGGCGTGCTGGGTGCGCTGCGCTGCGGACGCTGGGCGCGCTGAGCCTGCTGTGTGATGCGTTATGCTGGGCCTGCTGTGTGTTGTGTATGCTGCGCCTGCCGTGACCTGCTGAGCGTGCTGAACACCAGGGCACACGGTGTGTGGGTTGGGCGCGGGCATCGGCTGACGCTCGCCGCCCGTCCTGCACTGCGCCCCGCCCCGCCGTTCCGCAGGGGTGCGGCTGGGCCAGCTGTCGCTGCAGCGCGGCGAGTCGTCGCGGCACAAGGTGCTGCTTGTGGAGGGCCTGTCGCCAGGCAAGTCGGCCGCTTGGAGGAGGAGGGAGGGAGAGGGGGCGGCAGCTGCGTGGGCCGCGCTGTCGCCGGGGCAGCCCCTGCCTGCCCCACGCCTGGCGACATGATTGCGCCTTCAGGCGCATACAAAACCAGCCTGCGCCCTACCCACCCGCCGCCCCACCTGCTCCCCATCCGCTGCCCCTCCCCGCAGACGTGGTGTACACCAAGCTGCAGACGTCTGTCAACCGCAACCCCAAGTCGCTGGGGCGCAGCAGCAAGCACGTCATCAACACATCCATCGTGCCCATGGAGGCGCCCAAGGAGGCGCCCAAGGCGGCGTAGCCAGCCAGCCAGCCCTGGCAGGCGCCACCCGGCGGCTGCAGCACGCTGCACAGCGCGCCTGCGGGCTCCCATCCAGTGTTCTGACCCCTGACGACGCCCCCTTTGCCTCCTTGCTCGCTTCTGACCGCTTGACCCACGCTTTGTTGCTCTCTCCTGACCCACGCTGTATCGTATTCTGCTGCCGCAAGCCACCTCCCCCGGCCCGCGGCCATTCCTTGCAATTGCTCGCCCTCTGGCGTCTCCCTGTTGCTCCCACATCCACTTGCAAGGGCAAAGTGTGTTACACAGCCATGAAATCAAGATGTACATGTGCTACCATTTCACTACAACCTAGCTGGCAGCAGCTTTGGCAGGTGCTCGCTCACTGCTGCCGGCTCATTCAAACAGGCCTTGCATGAACGCATCAAAATCATTCTCCGCCGGCTGGCCCGCCGCGGCAGCCGCCCCGGCAGTCCCCTGCTGCTGCCGGCCAGCCGGCCGCTCCTCGCCGTGCCGCCTGCGCTTCCTGCCCCTGCGCTGCTCCTCGCCCTCGTCCTCGCTGCTGCTGCTGCTGCTGCTGCTTGCAGATGAGGAGCTGCTGCTAGTGGACCCTTCGCTGCCGCTGCTGCTCCTGCTACTGCTGCTGCTCCTGCTGCGCCTGCGCCGCCGCTTCCTGCCGCGCTTGGCCTCCTTGCTGCTGCCCCTGCCCTTCCACCGCCGTTCCTCCTTGGCGCGCCGCCGCCGCACCTCCTTGCGCCGCCGCTCCCGGTGCGCGCGCTGCGCCTCGCGCTGCTTGCGGTAGTTGAGCTGGTGGGCGTGGGTGGGGCACACCCGCAGCTTGACCAGCGCCTGCTTCCGCTCCCCGGCCTCCTGGTACGCAAAGGGCACCTCGAACGAGGCCAGCCCGCGCCGCTCCTCGCAGCCCTGCGTGCGGTGGTGGTGTGTGCGGGGGGTGGCAGTCAGCCGGGGAGCGGGGCAAGGGGTTGTACGCAGCAGCAGCGGCGGCGGCAGCAACAAGAGCAGCATCGCGCCTCCCCAGGACCACCAGCACACGCTGCCCCTGCCCCAGGCTAGAGATCGGCAGGCGAGGGCGGGCATGCAACTCTGCCCTGCACTCCCGGGCCACAGCCAGCCACCAGCGCCCCAGGCCCGCCCGCGCGCTGGCCCTGCCGCCCCGCTGGCTGCCCGGTCCCGCCCGCCCACCCACCTGTGCGCCGCACACAAACTGGCCCCGCCCGTTGACCACCTCTCGCTGCGTCCTCCAGCGCAGCCCCACCCTGCCCTCCCGGTACCGGCTCAGGTCGGCTATGGCATACTCCTTGAACAGCTTGCTGCAGGGGGGGGCAGTACACAGGGAGCAGGGTGCAGTACGAATGAGCAGGGGGGCAGAACACGTGAGAACAGGAGGCCAGGGGTGGAGCTCGCCACGTGAGGACAGCGCGCTCTGCGGTCGCATGGGCAGCATCTCCTCCCACCCGCCGGCGGCAGCCCCGCAGCTGCAGCCGGCAGCCACACCCCCCCACAGCGCGCACCTGTAGTAGCGCTTGGCCAGCCGCACCTCCCAGCTGTCGCCCGCATCGTCGGCCTCGCTGCGGATGAACCTGCGGCGGCAGCAGGCGGGGCGGAGGGGGCAGCCAGCAAAGCTTAGTGCAGCAGCGGCAGCGCCAGCCGCGGCGGCCCACGCCCGCCGCCCTGGGCGGGGGAGTAGCCTGCTGCTGCTGCAGCAGATGCTGCACACCATCTCACCACAACTCAAACAAGGCAGGCAGGCAGGCGGGCAGGCAGGCAGGCAGGCAGGCAGATAGGCAGGGCAGGCAGGCGCCCACCTGAAGTTCTCCAGCAGCAGGTCGTAGTCTGTCTTTGCGGGGCCCGCCTGCAGGCGCCAGGTGGCAGGCGGGGCGCGGGGCCGGCACCAGCTGGGCTCCACCCCTGACTTCCAGCTCAGGGCCACGGCTGGGCGGCGGGACGGTGGCGCACGCAGCCAGGCGCGGCAGGCGCAGCACTGCGCCGGCGGCCGGGCAAGGAGGGAGCCGGGTGGCCGCCCGGGCGCAGCCGGCGCAGCGGGCGCGGCAGGCACGGCAGCGGGCGCACCTGGCCGCCCTGCGGCGCCTGGCCTCCGTAGTAGGCGACCAGGTCGTGCACCATCTTCTTGTGCCGCTCGTACGCGTTCATGCCCATGAACAGCTGGCGCTGCTGCTGGCGCGCGGCGGCGTCGTAGGCCGCGGACCGCGCCGCGCCGTGGCCCGCCATCGCGGGGCGCGGCTGCGGGGCTGCGGGGCCTGGCGGGCGGGCTGCACCGGCGCGCCGCTGCTGCTGCTGCTGCTGCCGGGGCGAGCACACGTGCCGGCGCTGCTGCTGAGGTCACGCTAAAAGCAGGCGTCAGCTGGTGCCGAGTGCCTAGTGGTGCTGCTGCAGGTGCTGCGCCAGGTCGGGGGCCAGGCGGGGGGCGGCCAGGAAGGTGAGCAGCGGCGGGTGCTCGCAGGCGGCAAAGCCCTGCAGCGCGGAGCCGGTGGGCGGGCGCCAGTCCCACAGCGGCGCTCCAGACAGGGCCCTGTCGCTGAAGTGTGCGCCGTTGACGGCGAGCTTGTAATCCAGGAAGAGCTTTGAGTACCTGCGGCGGCGAGGTTGCAGGGCAGAGGTTGCAGGGCAGCGTCGGGAGGGATGAGGCGGCGGCGGCAGCGGCAGCGGCAGAGGCCGCAGGGTGAGGGCGAGGTAGAGCGGCGCTCCGACGGGCAGGCCACGCGCAGGGGGGCAAGCGCAGGGCGCGGCGGCGCTGGGAGACAACGGCAGCGTTGGGGATGATGGCGGCGCGGAGGGTCGGCGGCGCACTTGGCGGTGAGGTCGGGCGACGCGGCGGGGTTGTTGCTCAGCGGGTTGCTGGCCATGGGGCGCTGCCTGCTGGGCGGCGGGTGCTCAGGGCTGCTGCCTGGCGGCCTGCGCTGCTAGAGGGAGGGTGTCCTAAGGGAGGCAGCACTGATGCTGCTACTAGAGAGGCAAGGTATGTTGGGGCACTTCCACTTCCGCTTCCACTTCAGGCGGCGGGGCGCATGTCGGCCTCGTCGGCGTCGTCGTCAAAGCGGTTGAAGAAGTCGGCGTCGGCCTTGGGCTGCTGGTTGTCGCGCCGGTCGTTCAGCTGCACCTGGTTGGCGGCCTCCAGGATGTCGGTGGCGTCGTCTGCGCAGCGGCAGGCAGCGGCAGGCAGCGGCAGCGGCGGGCGGTGGGCGCCCGAGGATGGGCTGCGCAGCGGTGTGATCTCGGGGCTGGGCGCCGCCCCGCACCGTCGAACAAGCTCAGCTCCTCGCTCTCTGCGTCTTCCTGGTGGGAGCGCACGGGGGAGGGGACGGGCTTCATTGCTGCCCGGGAGGCAGGCAGGGTCGAGGGAAGCGAGCGCAGAGTGCAGAGAGCAGCGCACAGCCCGTTTTGGTCGTGGGGGTGGCCACCTGGTCCCTGCAGGTAGGCCTCCCGATCACCGGTCCCCCCCTGGCGGGGGGACCGGTGATCACATTCTGCCACGCGCCACATTCTGCCCATCATCGCCTAACCATTTGTTTCGTTGATTGGGCATCTGGGTTGAACAGTCCACTCCTGCAATCCTCAAGCAGGCAGCAGGCGACTGGTGGAAGGCTCCAGTGGCTCCACTCCTGCCGCTCAAACAAGTTGCACGCCTTCCTGAGACTGCAACCTCGGCAAGCGCAGTAATCAGCGGTCTCCAGTGCGCTGCGGCGCCTCCGGCCGGCTCCACACACTCGCCGCACCGAGCCCCGCCGCCTTCCGGCGCCCACTGCAGCACTCATAGCCGCCGTTCTACCACACCACCATGTCTGCGCTGCGGTCCACCCTCTTCCTGGCCAAGGGCCTGCGCGAGTTCACGCGCGGCGGCTACGAGAGGGCGGCCAAGGGCTTTGACAATGCCGCCATGGAGCGAGCCGCCCCGCTGGCGGGCCGCCGCTGCATGGTCACAGGCGCCAACCAGGTGGGTGTGCTGGGCTGCCTGCGCTGGTGAGCGCAGGCACACACACATATACTCTCACCTACCAGCCACGCTGCCAGCCACTCGCGCTGCGCCCCACTGCGCCGCACAGCTTGCTGCGCACTGGCCCCTAGTCCACACTCCCCGCTGCCTCGCCCGCCGCCCCCTTGCTCCCGCTGCAGGGCCTGGGCTACCAGACCAGCCTGGAGCTGGCCAAGCGCGGCGCCACGCTGTACATGGTGTGCCGCAACCCGGAGCGGGGGCGGGAGGCGGTGGAGCGGGTGCGCCAGGACAGCGGCAACCCAGATGTGCACCTCAAGGTGGGGCTTGACGCCTGAACAAGGCCAGTGGCCAAGTCGCCTCTGCCTGACCGGCTCCCCAGCTGCTGGCCGCCTGGCTGCTGAGGGCGCCCGGGCGAACGCGCCTCCGCCGTGCCGAGTTGCGCTGCGTGCTGCTGGGTGATTCAAGGCGGCTTGGCAGGCGCCGCATCAGCTGGTGTGCAGGCGGGCGTGATGCCTGCGCTCGCCTGTGCCTGCTGGTTTTCAATCCCAAGAATGGAGGGCAAGCTGCCGCACATACCACACACACACTGCCTGCCATGCAGATCTGCGACCTCGCCTCGCTGGCTGCGATCCGGGCGCTGGCAGAAGAGTGGCTGGCAGGCGGGCAGCCCCTGGACGTGCTTGTGAACAACGCGGGGCACATGCTGCATGAGCGCACGCCCTCGGCAGACGGCTACGAGAGCAACGTGAGCCCCTTCTGCTGCTGTGCTTGTTTGTTGCCACAAGGCTGTCAGCAGCAGCAGCTGCACTGCCGTGGGGTGGCCGCCCCGTCCGCTTCAGTTATCTGCACGGTTGTCAACCGGTGGTGCCTGCCCGCCTTGCCTGGTGGCGTGCAGTTTGCGGTCAACACGCTAGCCTCCTTTGCGCTGACGGCGGCGCTGGAGCCGGCGCTGCATGCGGCGGCAGGCGGCGCCCGCGTCGTCTTTGTCGCCAGCGGTGGCCAGGTAGCGCAGCGGCGTGGACCAGCTGCCCCGCTGCTTCCTGGCTTCCTGGCCCTCTTGTTCCGCCTTCTCTCGACTTGCACGGTGGCTCTCCCCTCCTGCAGTGCAACGAGCTCCTGTACCGCTCTCGCCTCCTTTGCAGTACAACGAGCCCCTGGTGACAGACGACTTGCAGGCGGAGCGGCTGAAAAAGTTTGACGGCATCAAGCAGTACTCGCGGGACAAGCGGCGCCAGGTGGGCGCGCCAGCCGGGCACGCACGCAACACGGCTGCAGCAGCGGCAGCGGGCGTCTTTGCATATCTGCACATGCATCCAGTCGCTCGTCGGCTGGGTGGTGAACCATCGCCGGTCTGGCTGCCGCTCACTTGCTGCCCACCCAACCCTCACCGCCGGGAGCAGGTGGCCCTGGCTGAGCGCTTCAGCGAGCGGTGGGCGGCGGCGGGGCATGGCAGCCGCGCTTATGCGATGCACCCTGGCTGGACGGAGACAGAGGGCGTGAAAACCAGCATTCCCGGCTTTTACTCAGCGTTCAAGAACCGGCTGCGCAGCCTGCAGCAGGGATGCGACACCACTGTCTGGCTTTGTGTGGAGGTGCGGGGGCACAGTGCACGTGTCTGTGGGTGGCCCACAGAGTGACACTCAATTGTGGCGTGCCTGTCTGCCTGCCTGCCTGCCTCCCTCCCTCCTGCTGATGCCTGTCCAGTGTGGCAGGCCGGCGCTCCTTCACCCAGCGAGGAGAGGGCAACACTGCACGTCCTGTGCCTGCTCTTCGGTGCAGGATGCCGCCAAGCTGCAGCCAGGCGCCTTTTACCTGGACAGGCAGCCGCAGCCCAAGCACCTGCCGCTGGCCGGCACCAAGTATACCGCGGCTGATGTGGATGCGCTGTGGCGGCAGCTGGAGGCCATGGCCACGCCTGCCATGCCTGCTGCAGCTGCCGGCGGGAACGCCACCTGAGGCTGGCCCAGCCGCGCAACGGTGTGTTTACAGCCTATTTTTAGATAAAAAGTAGCTTACAAACAACCAAAGCGGTGGTGGGAGAGTCGACCACGAAATGGGCGGGTTTGTTGAGGGCAATGAAACACTATAGCGAGTTCCGCAGACGGGTATGCCTGCCAGAGGCTACAGCTAAGGAGGGTCATGTGTGGCAGCAATAATGCTGAATAACCCAAGAATCATCAATTAAAGGGGGGCAAAGCATCGAGAGGTCAACCATGAGATGGGCGCAGCGGTGCACAATGAGGGCACCTTCGCTGCGCCGTGCCGTGGCACTGAGCAGAATTAGTATTAAATCCTTTGCACGCAAAGGTAAAGTCGAGTTCTGAGGCAGCAGGTTCTGGGTAGTGGCCGGTCGGTCGGCAGAGAGGGGCAGTAGTAGCAGAGGGCAGCAGCAGATTGGAAAGAGGGCTTGTTACTGGGAGCGAGCAAATGGGTGGGCGAGTTGTTCGGCGGAAGAGTGTGACGGGTGGGAAGGCTGGATGGTATCAGGCATGAAAGGAGATGATGCATGTGGCACAGGTGTGATGGGTGGGGACAGAAGGTGAGCAGAAGAGTGTGTGATGGGCGGGATGGCAGGGTGCAGGTGTCCTGCCTGTGGATTTGAGAGAGAAGCAAGTACTGACATGTGGGTACGAGAACATTGTGGGTAGACATGATACGTTCAATAGAGGCTTGGGTGTGGGGTCTTGAATGTGTGGTGTTCGTGGGAGTGTAAGGCAGCGGGTGTGCCGTGGTTTATCTTGGTACACGGCCAATTAAAGAGCAGGGAAGCAGCCTGGGTGGCGGCAGTGAGATGGAGTCGAGCAGTGCGGGGAGGAAAGAAAGCAGGAGAGGGAGGGCCGTGGCGGGAGGGAGGCATGCGTCTCTTGTGTATGGGCGTCGGATTCTAACGCAAATCGATTCGTTCTACTCAGCAGGCGTTGTGCCCCGCCAGCCTAGATGCAGGCCAGGAAGCGGCGAGCGGCGTGCCCCGCCAGCTGCAATCTGGCGGGCGTCGGCAGCGGCATGTCAGCCGCCAGAGCCGTCAGCCCGGTGGTGGCCGCGGGTGGGCGCGGCCCGGCCACAGGCCAGAAGCGGCGCGAGGCGTCGGCGGCAGCGTGTGCGGGCCCGCCAAAGCGAGCCAGGAAGTGGCGTGCGGCTTGCAGCCGGCAGGCGTCCTCTGGGGCTAGCTCGGCCGTGATGGATGCCAGCCCGCGGGCAAACAGGGCGGCATCGGCTTCACCGCCAGTGGCTGCGGCGGCGTGCGAGGGCGGCGGGTGGCTGCGAGCGATGCTGGTGCAGCATGAGAGTGTTGGGGAGCTGCAGGAGTGGATGTGTGTGGGGGCGGGGGAGAGCAGCGGGGCTGGGGGTGAGGGTGGGGGGCAAGGCCGAGCCGGCAGGGCAGCAGCGTCACATGGAGGCAGGGGCAAGCAGCAGCATCTCATGCACCCGCACTCACCCATGGTGCGCAGCCAGCGTGGCAGGAGAGGCAACTGTGTGCTGGGAGTCTGAAGCGGTGCTGGTGCTGCGACACATCGGGCGCAGGCAGGGCAGCCGGCCCGGTGTGGCCGGCTGCTCCGGTGCTGTCCCAGCTGCAATCTCAGTGTCGCAGCTGCCAGCACCCTCCGCTGCCTGCATCCGGCCGTGCCGAGGCCGGTGCTGCCCCACACCAGGCTTGTGCTCGAGGGCAGCACCGCGGATGGCCAGCAGTGCAGTAGGTGGGCGGCGGCTGATGCTGGCAGGGCGGCGCGCGTGGTCGACTGCCGTGTGCGTTGTGGGCGGGCCTGCGAGGCGGCACAGCAGGTCGAGGCAGGGTCGGAAGGCCAGGGTGGGGCTGGTGGGCGAGGAGAGTGCTCTCCCCGGCCCCGCGCCCGGGCATGCTCCCTCTACATGCAACTGCATGCACACCAGCACGGCTGCAGGCGGACAAGGCAAGCGCTGCTGCACGCACCGGCGCTGTGCTGGGACTGTGCCGAGGCTGCCGCTGCGGCCAGCAGCGCATGCCAGGGTGATGCGGCGCCGCGCTGGGTGGGCGCTGGCGTGGCCACTCCGCACATGTAGGGGCTGCAGAAGTCTGCCGCGGGCGGCTCGCTGTCCGCGGTGGGTGTGGGTGCCTGTAAGTTGTTATTGCTGCTGCAGTCAATCATCATGCTGGGCACTACCTGCACAGGGGTGGGGGTAGAAAGAGCAACGAGGTGGATGCCACGAGCATCTTCCGTAGTGCACCACACGCCGCCGAACAGCGGGGGCGCCCGGCTCGCTCTGGCGGTGCGCACAGCGTGAATGCAGCCCCCAGAGGTGTCGGGAGAGGCCGGCTGGCAGCAGCAAGCTGGGGAGCGGCAGCGGGGGCGGGAGTGCGGCGGCGACGGCTGCTATAGTACTACTTGCGAGGACCGGGGGGCGGCCTACCCGAATTGTGCTTCTGGCGTTAGCAAGCGGTTTGAGACGTCTATGGGGTTCGAGAGGGTTACAGACTCTGCAAAAAAGGACAGGCCGGAGGAAGTGGGGCGCAGGCGGGCGGGGAGCCGCGGGGGGCTGGACGCGCAGCCGAATTCGCGCTCGTGAGGACGCAGGGAATGTGCAGCGGCCCGCACATGGGAAACAGCGCTTGCACCGCACGAGCAGGGGGCGCTCACCGTCGTGGTGAGCACCTGGCCAGGGGAGGGGGAATGCCTGCAGTGTGGGGCCTGTATGCGCTCTTGTTGGGCAGTGAGGTTGGAGTTGAGGGGCGGGGGAAGGACTGCCTAGTCTTCAACGGCTTACGTTCCACCCCTGCGTATCTGCTGCTGCTCCACCCGTCGTGTGACCGGAGCTGCTCATCGTGCAGGCCGGAGGCCTGGGCCTCCCAATTGGCTCGGTTCATCCTCTATTGCACGTGGCAGGACGAGGGAGGGGCAGCGCCAGCTTAGACGGCGGCTTCCCCCCAGAATATCCCGCGAGCGCCAAGTGGCGCTTCCGCCGCCGAGCGCCCACAACTGCAGGGCCCTTCATGGGGCGCAGGTAGCTGCCCACCTGGCATGCCGTGAACGAACGGTTTGATACCTGGCCGATCGAGTGTGGCGCCTGCCTGCATGCTTGGGCAGCCATCCAGATTAGACGCACACCGTCGGCCGCCCCGCGCGCCGCGAGTCGGGACTGAAGCAACCCATCCCGCATGCCAATTATCAGGAGGGGCTCCAAGAATTCAGCTGCAGGCCCCATGCGTTAGCAACTGCACGACGGATTCCCCAAATCTGGCCCGCAGGCTTAGCCGTCGCGGGAAGCAGGTACACAGGTGCCTGGCTGCAGTGGCAGGGGGATGGGAGGCCTCCTGACATACGTTTGGGCAGAGGGTGAATTCTCTGTTGGCTGAGAGAGTGGGCTTGGCAGCAACCTGATCGGCAGCCAGCCAGCATACATGATGTGCGCCTCGGGGGTCCTTGCAGGAAGGACAGCTGTTGCCTGCCGCCGCTGCCACCGCCGCCGCGCCGTCTCCAAGGAGCTGTCTCCAGCCTGTTCAGGCTGCACCAACACAGCGATGCCCCTTCTGTTATTGGAGCGGGAGAGGTGGGAGAGATGGCGGGGGGAGGGAGAGTGCAGTCCGCTGTAGCTCCACCAGCGCTTTCATCTGCCGCCATCCATTCAACGGCCGCCATCCATACAGTACCAGGACCCCATGGCAGTTCTCCCCATTCTGCGGGTATCTTGCTACCAGCGGCCCTCACCCGCGCCCTGTGCGTGTCCAACTGCGAGAATACATACGCTGGCGGCCCCCTGGCGCTGCTACTACAAGCCTCCCGCCTGTTCGCTCTCAGCCCGCCTCCCCAGCAGTTCTCAAGCGGAACTCGGTTAGAGGTGAGGAGGTGAGCTGAAAGGCGTGGTGGCGTCCTGGGGAGGAAGTGCTGACCGAGAGCTCACCGTCCCATCTTCGGGCACACATGAGCGCTGCGCGCAGCTGCTTGCTTGCCTGCCTGCCAGTCCCAGCCTCGATTCTTGCTGTGAACCAGGCAGCGCAGCCCCAAACCCGCCCCCCTGCGTGCCTGGGCCACCCACCTGCAGGGGCAGCTTCTGTCGCCCTCTTCACTGCCGGGTAGGCCTCCACGCGTCCCCAACCACCTTCCATCGGGCCTCTGATGGCTCCAGCCGACGGCTCGCGACGGGAAACGCGGCCGGCAGCGATGTTCCCGCCAGCCCCTTCGCTCCGCCTAAAAGCCCCTTCACCTCTGGAGCGCAGCCTGTCCCTGCCCACTCCCTCCCACCAGGCCAGCCTGAAACGCAAGAGCACGGGCAGCGGCGCGGGCAGTGCCTGGGACGCCCTCCTCCTGGTCGCGGCGCAGGATGGGCCGGCGCCGGCCTCCGGTGCCCCTCCCCCTGCAGCTTGCTTGTGTGGGCTTAAAGTCTGGTAAAGCAAGAACTAGCTTGCAACATAGACTCCCCGCCGAAACGGGACGGGAACCGGGCGAAAGCAGAGAAAGCAATAAAACAGGGGTGGAGCAAGGCGACATGCAACGCAAGCAGCTGACAGGGCACGCATCGAAACGTGTGTATGACTGGCAAAGTGGCATGGCGCATTGGGGTTTAGGGTTTTTAGGGTTTAGGGTTCAGCAGCAGCAGCCGCGCGCCCCAACAAGCGGCACCGGGCTGCCGCCCCGCCTTGGGCCAAAGCCGCAGCGCAGCCCTCCACCATCCACCAGCCAGCCGAGTCGACGCCGCTGGGGCGGTGGGGCGGCACCAAGCGCAGCCGGCAGCCCCGCAGCGCCGCGGCGGCCTGGCGCCAGCGGCTCGGGCGGTTGCGGCAGGCCCCGTGGCGGCCGCCCCCTCCACCGCACCTGCACCTGCAGCAGCAGCAGCAGCAGCAGCAGCAGCAGCAGCAGCAGCAGCAGCAGGCGGTGCCTCCGCCGCCGCCGGCGCAGCAGCCCGAGCGCGTCCCGGAGGCGGCGGCGGCCCTGCAGGAGGCCTCCCTGACGGTCCAGGTGGAGGACACCACTGCCCTGCGCCAGCACCTGGGCCTGCTGCCCTCCCTGCACGGCCCCGGCCCCCTGATGGCAACCGCCGACGAGTCGGTGGTGGTGGTGCGCCAGCTGTCGCAGCTGGAGCGCGCGGCGGCGGCGGTGCTGCCGCAGCCCGCGGCGCAGTTGGTGGCGGCGTCGGTGCCGGAGCACGCCGCGGCGGCGCTGACGCAGCTGCTGCTGGCGGCCAGCCCGGAGCAGGCCGCCGCCACGCTGGCAGTGCTGCTGGCCCGCGCGGTGCAGCAGCAGCGGCAGGCGCAGGTGCTGCGCGCGCTGGTGGCGCACGCGGCCCAGGCCAGGCCCTCCTGCGGGTGCGCGCCGCAGCCTGCATGTGTGCCGCTGCTCCCAGTGCTGACCGCGGCCCGTGAGGCAGCGCTGCAGCAGGATGTTGCCGCCTGTTGGGGTGCAGCAGGCTGCGCCCCATGGCTGCTCACTTCCGCCGCGCCAACCACCACTGCCTCCCTGCCCCGCGCCTGCAGCGCCGCCGCGCTGCCAGTTGTGACCAGCGGCTTTGCCAGCGGCTCGGCGGCTGTGCCCCAGCCGGACACAAGCCATCTTGGAGCCGCAGAAGCGCTGCTAGCCCACTTCCCGGCTTAGCGTACTGGCTCACGGGAAGAGCAACTCACATAATAGATCAAGCCATCACCCCTTTAGCATGTTAAACGCACATACTTGTACATGGAACTGTTGCCGCTTCCCTTCTACCTCTCCATTTTTCTGTTCATTGCCAACTAACCGCTCTCTTACCCCTGTATGCCTTGCGTAGAACACTAGCCGCCCTTTGAATCATTTCATTTTGCCAACAAGGGCAAGGGTGTGTGCTGCCTGCTCTTTGAAACTGCCACTCGACGATGCGATGTAAATCCTGCCATTCCGAGAGGCATGCAAGCAAACCCGGGCGGCAGCTGGAGCACGCCACCAGAGTGCTGGGAGAGGCATCAGCATTACCTTGCGTTTGCTGCACACGTGCCTTTTTCCAATCGTCCACCTCAGTGCCTGCTGGCCCTTGCCCTCTCTCTCACACTAGCGCACACACAAGTTACATGGGCTGGCATACAGGGGAAGGTACAGTGCGCTGGGTTTCAGGTACAGGGAGCGCGGGGCGAGCGGCCTAGGGCTGCTCCGCCACCAGGGGTCACATCCCTTCACGCGCTTCAGTTGCCGCCGCGCAGGCGCAGCACCAGGTGCAGGGTGGACTCCTTCTGGATGTTGTAGTCAGCCAGGGTGCGGCCATCCTCAAGCTGCTTGCCCGCAAAGATCAGGCGCTGCTGGTCGGGGGGGATGCCCTCCTTGTCCTGCGGCAGCCGAGGCACAGGCGTGCGAGTGAGAGGGGGACGTGAATGGTGGGAAGGGGATGCATTTCTGCAAGGCCAGCAATGGGACACACACGCTCCAAATGCTCAGCCACTTATCATGCCCCAACCCAAACCCCACCTGAATCTTGGCCTTCACGTTCTCAATGGTGTCGCTAGACTCCACCTCGAGCGTGATGGTCTTGCCTGCGGCAACAAGCAGCAGTGGGTCAGCGGGTTGGAAGCTAGCGAGGCAGGGGGCAACAGGCCCACACCGCTGCCGCTGCGCTGCAGCCTGCCGTGCCAACAAACCCAAGCACTCCTCCCTGCCAGGCCCGCTCACCCGTCAGCGTCTTGACGAAGATCTGCATGCCGCCGCGCAGGCGCAGCACCAGGTGCAGGGTGGACTCCTTCTGGATGTTGTAGTCAGCCAGGGTGCGGCCATCCTCAAGCTGCTTGCCCGCAAAGATCAGGCGCTGCTGGTCGGGGGGGATGCCCTCCTTGTCCTGCGGCAGCCGAGGCACAGGCGTGCGAGTGAGAGGGGGACGTGAATGGTGGGAAGGGGATGCATTTCTGCAAGGCCAGCAATGGGACACACACGCTCCAAATGCTCAGCCACTTATCATGCCCCAACCCAAACCCCACCTGAATCTTGGCCTTCACGTTCTCAATGGTGTCGCTAGACTCCACCTCGAGCGTGATGGTCTTGCCTGCGGCAACAAGCAGCAGTGGGTCAGCGGGTTGGCAGCTAGCGAGGCAGGGGGCAACAGGCCCACACCGCTGCCGCTGCGCTGCAGCCTGCCGTGCCAACAAACCCAAGCACTCCTCCCTGCCAGGCCCGCTCACCCGTCAGCGTCTTGACGAAGATCTGCATGCCGCCGCGCAGGCGCAGCACCAGGTGCAGGGTGGACTCCTTCTGGATGTTGTAGTCAGCCAGGGTGCGGCCATCCTCAAGCTGCTTGCCCGCAAAGATCAGGCGCTGCTGGTCGGGGGGGATGCCCTCCTTGTCCTGCGGCAGCCGAGGCACAGGCGTGCGAGTGAGAGGGGGACGTGAATGGTGGGACGGGGATGCATTTCTGCAAGGCCAGCAATGGGACACACACGCTCCAAATGCTCAGCCACTTATCATGCCCCAACCCAAACCCCACCTGAATCTTGGCCTTCACGTTCTCAATGGTGTCGCTAGACTCCACCTCGAGCGTGATGGTCTTGCCTGCGGCAACAAGCAGCAGTGGGTCAGCGGGTTGGCAGCTAGCGAGGCAGGGGGCAACAGGCCCACACCGCTGCCGCTGCGCTGCAGCCTGCCGTGCCAACAAACCCAAGCACTCCTCCCTGCCAGGCCCGCTCACCCGTCAGCGTCTTGACGAAGATCTGCATGCCGCCGCGCAGGCGCAGCACCAGGTGCAGGGTGGACTCCTTCTGGATGTTGTAGTCAGCCAGGGTGCGGCCATCCTCAAGCTGCTTGCCCGCAAAGATCAGGCGCTGCTGGTCGGGGGGGATGCCTGCAGCCGCCGCAGGGTTGGGAAGCGTGCTCAGGACATACCAACGGCATAGGGACCATACCAATTTTATTCTAACAGGCAGGCACGTCTGATCTGAAGTATGCAACGCAATGCCGCCAATGCCGCCGATGCGCCCCCGCCGTCTCACCCTCCTTGTCCTGAATCTTGGCCTTCACATTCTCAATGGTGTCGCTAGACTCCACCTCGAGGGTGATGGTCTTGCCTGCGAGGCGGGGTAGGGCAGAAGCCGCGGCAGATGTCATGGGAAGTCCCAACCCAGCCTGCCGACGCTGGGTGCCCCGTCCGGCTCACAGTGCCCCCCTGGCATGCCCTAGGCGTAGGCGGGGCTGATCAGCGGCTCTGGCAGCCGGGTGCTGGGCCCAGAAGCTCCCAAAACCTCGGGCCCTCCCACGCGCTCCCACGCCCTCACCAGTCAGAGTCTTGACGAAGATCTGCATGCTGGCGACGTTGGCGGTGCTGGGAGGGCCGCTCTGCGGACAGGGAGGCGGAAATGGGGACTGGTGAGTCTTGGCCGCGAGCGCGGGCTGGGGAGCCTGCCAAGCCACCAGGAAAGGCTGCTCACCTGCTGGACAGGCGGGGAGAGGCGGCTGGCGGGGGAAGAGCGAAGTGAAGTGCGAGAAACAAGGCGAGGCTGCCGGCCGTGGCAGCCATTTGAGTGAGGCCCCCGGGATTGGGACCCGTCCGCCGAGCCCCTGCATGCGACCCAAGCACCGAGAGAAGTGTCGTGGGCAGAGGAGGCCGCGGGACGGATTGGGAGGAGCTGCTCCGGCGGCGGGCGGGCGGACCTGAGGCGGCGGCGCAAGCCAGTGAGAGCGGCAGTTTCGTTTGCAAACGTGCGCCCCTCCCTCTTCCTATGACTGGTGGCCGTGCGTCGCACTGGGCAGCTTGTGGCGTGCAGCAGTTTACAGAGTTTGCTGAAGAAACAGCGCTCAACGGATTGGAGATGGCGTATTGGAGAGGCGGGAAAAGCGGAGCGGAAAAGGAGTGATTTAGCGAAAGAAACAGCACACAAACAAAGGGCACCGGGGGTCAACGGCACGCGGGGCAGGGAAGAAGCGCGACGTGCAGCGGCGACAGGACCAGGAGGTGAGCACCCAGAAAGCCCACACTCGGGCAGAGGCCGGACGGCCACCACCTCGCGCCGCTACTCCCCCCCATCCAGCTTGCGAGTGTGCGCCTGCAGCTGCTTGGGGTCCCGCCCAACAGCTCCACCGCCGCTGCCGCTGCTGCTGCTGCTGCTCGACGCGCTGGCTGCCGCAAACAGGGGGGCAATGGGCGCCGCCGCCGCCTCCACAACCTCCCCTCCCGGCCCCGCCGCCGGCTGCTGCTGCTGCTGCCGCTCGCCCCGCGGCTGCCCCTGCTGCTGCCGCGCGTGGCCGTGCGCGTGCTGCGCGTGTCGCCGCCACTCCTCCTCCTCCTCCGAGCCGCCGGGCGGCGGCGCGGCGGCCTGCTCGCGGCGCTGCCGCGGCGGCGGCGCGGGGCGCCCGTCCGCCCAGTGCTTCAGCTGCCGGTTGATGAGCTCGAAGGAGGTGAAGGTGACGGCGGCGGCGGGGGTGGTGCGCAGCAGGTTGGTCATGCAGCCGCGGTAGAAGCCGGGCACGCCGTCCTCAACCATGATCTGCGGGGCGACAGGTGGAGTGCGTGCGCAGATGTGTGAGCCAGCGGCGAGGCTGGCGTCTGTGTGCTCGGGAGGGAGGGCGGGCGGGCAGGCAGCGCCGCGCGGGGCGTGTGCAGCGGGCGGGCAGGCAGGCAGGCGGGCAGGCGGAGGCCCGCCCCTAGCTGCGGGGGCGGCCAGCCCCGAGGGCGCGCAGGCCCCGGCCCAGGCCCTCGTGCTGCGTGCCTGCCCACCCAGCGCCGCCCCACCTGTCGGCAGGTGCGCGCGAAGCCGGTGAATGCTCCCGTGCCCGCGATGTGCATGCGGGAGCGCACCACCTCGTGAGGGTATGTGGCGGTGGAGGCAATCATCTTGGAGGTTGCTGAGGCCAGGATGAGCTCGTAGCTGCGGGGAGGGCAGGGAGGGAAGCAGGGAGGCAGGGAGGGAGGGAGGGAGGGAGGATCAGAGGCAGGGAGGCAGGGAGCGGGCGGCCGGAGCCGGCAAGCGCAAGCCGGACAGAGGGGCGGCTGCTGCGCCGGCGGGCGCGGCGCCTGCTCACAGGTTGAGCGTGTCGCCACCGTCGTGCGGGTGCTGCGCCGCAAAGCGCCCCTTCAGGCTCTCGTACAGCGGGAACTGGATGACCACGTGCATCACGCCCAGCAGCGAGGGGCCCAGACCGCTGCGGGGCGGGAAAAGGGCGGGATCAAGGGCAGCGCGGGGCGGGGTGGGCGGCGGCGTCCGGCGAGGGCAGCAGGGGCGGCGGCGGCGGGCGAGGGCAAGGGCAGGGAAGGGCAGGCGCCTGCGGGGCTGCGCAGGCTCGCACCCCCGCTCGCGCGTGCGCGCCGGCCCTCCCCTGTGCGGTACGGTACTGCCCGTACCGCGCCACCCGTCCCGCCGCGCGCGCCTCACCTGTACAGCCCCGCCACCCCCTCCTCCCGCGCGATGCGTATCAGCGCGTCCAGGGTGCCGCGGTACAGCGCCGGGTTGCCCGAGGCGCCCATGCGGATGCCCATGTTCTGGGTCTGCAGCCGCGTCTTGATGACCCAGAGAGGGTTGGTGATCATCATGGTGGCGGCGCCTGGCGCGGGAGGAAAGGAAGGCGGGGGGTGGGGGGGTGGGGAGGAGGGAGGGCGCGCGAAGGGAGGGGTGGCGGGCCGTGGACGGGCGGGCTGCG